CTATGTTGTAACAATCTCGAGCCAAAATTCGTTCTTTGAAATTCATTGTGTTTGATCTTATTACTGTGAATGGAACTGAGTAGCTCTTCTTTATACTGAATCCTTATGAATTCATTATTTGGTTTTTTTTTATTTCCGTCTCTTTCTCGGATGCATCCCCTGAAGCTCTTCTAAAACCCCTGCTGAATCATCCCACTGAATATTTCGAAACTAAGTTGCCCACTTTTTATTCTCATCAGGCCCTTCTCATTTGATCACCATTACACTTGTAATGACGACGACAGCAGACATTTTTGTGGGATAGACTATGATGATTCTTAGGGAACAATGGCAGTACATATGGCACTTAATCATGCCCTGAAAATTTAGTGTTTGTGCGTCTCTAGCAGTAAAAGCTTCATCAACAGCCAGACAATTACTAGCGAGATTTGCACAGAAAAATGCAACAATGAACAGGAAATCGCAACAGAAATTTGCAGCAATAGTCCATTATATGCAAAGTACGTGCAGCCAGTGGGGAACTGAGACTATCCAAACAAGTCCTATTTCACAAGAAAACTGAATGAATTTCTCGTTAACCAGTAAGTGGGTTACAATGCATCCGTCTACCAGACCCCCTCTAGCATTAGAAGTAGAGACATGCTCTAGGAGTAGGGCGACATCTGCTTGTCGAATCGTTTGGTTGAGTGCTCGAAGGTCGAAGGAAGAAAAAGGAAAAAGAGGGAAGAGAAGCAAGGCTGCGTTCATACTTTGCGGCAGCGTACGCTAGCGTTTCCAGCGCTCGGCAGCGGCACTGACAAGGAAAGGATAGATATCGATCTAGCATTTGCCAGCTTTTCACCAGTGTTTGCCAGCGGCATGGAGAGTAGAGAGTATGGGAGAGTAGGAGAGTAGCGAACGGCTCATTCGTCGGCGGAGCGTCGTGGAACTGCGGCGTGTACAACCGCACCGCATAAGTAGACAGTACAGTACACTAAAATAGTTAAATTGCATAATTCTGTGGCTTGACCGTTGGAACGGAATGTCTTCTGGACGAATACACGGCCGACACATAAATGCTCATCCTTATGAAAGATCCAAATGATCTCACGTTGTTTTATACTTTACAATTATGCATTATGCAGACCAACCGTTGCATTATGCAATTTAGTGTACTATCTAGTGGAGCGGTGTGGTTTACACGCCGCAATTCCACGACGCCTAATCGAGCCGTTCGCTACTCTCCTACTCTCCCATACTCTCTAGTCCCCGCCGCTGGCAAACGCTAGTGAAACGCTGGCAAACGCTAGATCGATACCTATACTTTCCTTGCCCTCGCTACGCTAGCGTACGCTAGCGTACGCTGGTGACGCTGGCAAACGCTAGATCGATATCTATCCTTTCCTTGTCACTGCCGCTGTCGAACGCTGGAAACGCTGGCGTACGCTGCCGCAAAGTATGAACGCAGCCTAAGCGGGGAAGTAGAAGAGAAATAGGAGAGAAGGGTAAGAGGAAAAAAGAAAGAAAAAGGACGAAGGTTTCATAGAAGGCAAATCTCCATACAGGTACAGCATCGTGGTGCGTGAAAGCGAATCGGCATAGACTTCCAGGAAATGAAACTACACATACGACCTCCTTTCTTCAGCAGCCAATACGACCCCACTGATGGAATCCTCCAGCACGCCATGGCATTGTGATGAACTTCTGTTAAATAAGACCGCTCCTCCCTCCGTTCATTCGGCGTTGTGACATCCTTTCTGTGTTGTGCCATACACCCGACTCCCACAGAGTTGTGAAGGTGTAACTTCCAGGTAAGGCTTCTCCATGCACGCACATTGCTCCATCAGAGGAGAAAGTTTCGAGTGTGC